ATAAGCACATCATCAGCACAAAAACTTTTATAAAAAGTGGTGTAACAATCTGACTGACCAGGGTGAAAAAATGATGCCTATGAAGGTGGTAGTGGCTGGAAAAGAATTTCTTGGGATCAAAACGTATAAATGCAAACGGACGAATCCTGTTGCTGCATAGAGATGCTAGTAAGGTGTTAATAAGTGCTGCTCACGGGGCATAAATCAGCCTGTACTGGGTGATTCCCAGTGGCTAATCTGAGCCCAGTAAATGATCAGAAATCAGTTCTTACCTTTGTGTCGGACTAATAGCAACAGACCAGACCCTGTCAATCATGGAGATTGTTGCTAAGGGGGAGCTGGAGGTCAAAGTCCACATCTAAAGAAACAAAGTCACCAGAAACAACATTTTAATCTATGTTGAGATAAAATACAGTGGTGATAAACAGAAGGAAGACCAGGACTGTTTATTTAAAGCTTAAAATGAACATTTTAACCAAACTTGATCTTTTCCAGTAAAACACTGAAGCTGATCAAAACTCTTAACTTATCAGACGGAGAGTAACTCTGTCGAATATAACTTTGTAGATGTTCTTACTCGAGCTGTTCGGTCTCTGGATCCACTGACGATGAGTCCATTTTTAGTGTCCAGGCAGTTCACCTCCTGGCTGTGACCCATTAACCGCAGAGACATTCGATTCCTCCTGTTGTGGACCACGATCGTCCCATCACTGAAAAAACCAGACAAACCACGGTTCAGGCCTCTAGCTGATTATCTTAAGGGTTTCTAACACACTCTGAGGTTATACCAGGAGATCCATCATCCAAACAAACAGTTACTAAGACAGAACTTTGTTATGGAAAATCATAAGTGTCCTCTTCATCAGACTGATGAACAACAACAGAGGCTACCAGTTTACCATTTACCACGTATTGACCCCCCCAGTTTACCATTTTAGCCACTCTGTTTCCACAACTCCCAGAAGGTTCCATAATGGGACCAAGCCCGTTTAGCTTCTATCTTAATGATTTTCCCAAAGTTTGCAAAACTGTAACACGCCCCTATATGCAGATGATACTGCATTGCATATCAAAAAAAACAAAAAGAGCATTTTAGTTATGATTCAAATTGGTCTGTCAGACTTTAATCATTTAAGACCTTCTCACATGACAGAAACAGCAAAGGCTTCTGTGTGCTGAGTATCAGCCTTCTGTCTAACTCCATAATTTTGGTCCCCTCCCTGATCTGACCAGTGATGACATTTTTTGCCACATATTATCATTCAACCGCTGGTTGTCTAGGTGGCGTCCTGAAAACAACATGGGCTACATTAGAAATTTGCAATCCTTTTGGGGAAAGCCTGTTCTGACTCGGACAGACGCTATCCATCCCACTTTGGATGGTAGAGCTCTTCTTTCTAGGAATCTAGCAGAATTTATTAGTCCTCCCAAACCCTGACCACCCAGGGTGCAGACCAGGAAGCAGAGTCGTAGTTTAACAAACCTCTCTGCAGCTTCTCTACTGTTACCCAATCATTGCTCCCTCCAGACTTTGTCTTGCCCATGATCAAAATCAAATAAATGAGAAAAGAATAATAAAGGAGTAAATAATGATAATCTAATAAAAATAAAAATACATTTAAAATGATTAAATGTGGTTTATTTAATAT